AGTCACATAGACCCACAAGTGCTGTCAGCAACTTTATCCAAGTCACATAGATCCACAAGTGCTGTCAGCAACTTTATCCAAGTCACATAGATCCACAAGTGCTGTCAGTAACTTTATCCAAGTCACGTAGATCCACAAGTGGTGTCAGTAACTTTATCCAAGTCAAATAGATCCACAAGTGCTGTCAGTAACTTTATCCAAGTCACATAGACCCACAAGTGGTGTCAGTAACTTTGTCCAAGTCACATAGACCCACAAGTGCTGTCAGTGGTTTACGTGATAGGTTAATTCTGACTTTTGATTCACTTTCAGCAAACTGATAGTCTTAAAAGCTTTCTTTTATTGAAATAGCAAATTTATTGATGTTATTGTTGCGTCTCATGTTGGGTGAGATGGGTAATGTTAATATATAGAAATATGCCGGCGCTTTTTTTTTTTTTTTTTTTTTACACAGGATTTGACAAGGTTAAGGATCCCTAGTTTTGAAGATTGAGACACTTATGCAGCATATAGGAATCTTTATCAGGAAACGTTTCGCCACACAGTGGCTTCATCAGTCCAATACAAAGAGGAAGGCGTAAGGAGAGGAGGAGTATGAGGTAATCAGTCCCTCAGCCTGGAGTCGATGTGTTCAGTCCATCAATCTTGTAGAATGTACAGCATAGGGCCGTAGACGTGGCTTATATACTGTAGTGAGGTGAGGTGAAGCAGGCGGAGGCGGGTCATAGTGGTACCATCCCTAGTCGAAGTAGGTCTTTGTCCAAGGTTGAACAAGTGTTGAAGAATTCTTTGTAACAAGATCCCATGATGCTGCAGTGTCTGACAGTTGTGATGAATGGTTTGAAAAACCGACAATGGATGGTACCACTATGACCCCGCCTCCGCCTGCTTCGCCTCACCTCACTACAATATATAAGCCACGTCTACGGCATTGTGCTGTACATTCTACAAGATTGATGGACTGAACACATCGACTCCAGGCTGAGGGACTGATTACCTCATACTCCCCCTCTCCTTACGCCTTCCTCTTTGTATTGGACTGATGAAGCCACTGTGTGGCGAAACGTTTCCTGAATAAAGATTCCCATATGCTGCATAAGTGTCTTAATCTTCAACTTGTCGGTTTTTCAAACCATTGATCCCTAGCTTTATTGACAAGCTATTTACAGGTTAAGGATCCCTAACTTTATTGACAGCTATTTACAGGTTAAGGATTCCTAACTTTATTGGCAAGCTAAGAGCTGTTACCTACATCAGCTCATTTGACAGCATTTTTATTGTTATGAGACATACAAGTAGGGAACAGGATGAAGTTGGAGCCATCTGTGGGCCAGCATTTTCATTTGATCAACTGACTTTATCTCGTTGACATCATTATGCTGTACGAATATGTTCCATACTTGAGTCATCCTGGGTATGTATGATCTCAGATGGAGTGATGTTCTGGAGAAGGGTACAGCCAGAGTGAAGTTGCTGCTTTCTGCCCGTCTTGTGGCATAAAAGCTTTGTTTCACGCTGTCCTCGAAGTGGATCCAAGTGTGGTACTTTGACAATATTGGCCTTGTACATAACAGTAAGGCCACCCACATCCCTCCTATGTTGAAGGCTCTGCTGAAATGACAGATCTATCCAGGATGGGTCCAGGCGAGAGATGAGACGTCTTGCTCTGTTCTCTACTCTGTCAAGCAGTCGCAGATGAGAGGGGGGGGGGCAGGCAAACCAAGAAAGTGGAGCATACTCAAGGTGTGAGCGTACTTGTGCCTCGTACAGAATCTTGCAACCCCTACTGTCAAGCAGATGCGAGATACCGCGAAGTGCTGTAAGCTTCCTGGCTGCCTTGTTTGCAAGATTTACAATATGGTTCTTCATGGTTAGTTTGGAGTCAAATTTCACCCTAAGGATATCAACTTCTTCTCCAGGTGCCAACACCCTCCCATTCATCCTTACTACTGCCCCAGCATTACCATCATGGTGCCTAGAGACGATCATCATTTGCATTTTCTCAGGTGCAAATGTTACTTGCCATCTATTTCCCCAGGCTGATATAGCTCTCAGCTGGTGATTGATGTAGCTTAGAGCAGCTGGCATTTCTTCTCTTGGATAAGTGAATGTCAGTGTATAGTCGTCTGCATATACATGTGATTCTGGGATGAGATGAAGAAGGTCGTTGAAGTAGACATTCCATAACAATGGTCCCAGCACGCTTCTTTGTGGAACACTTGCCCCAATAGGATGTCTTGCTGATTCCGTTCCATTGAGAACTACACTTAGAGATCTACCATGAAGGTAATCACTGAGGAGACATAGCGTAGAACCTGCAATTCCCAGTGCTTGAAGTTTTGCTAAGAGGCCCTGGTGCCACACCCGGTCGAAAGCGCCAGCAATGTCCTGTGCTACCACACAGCTGACTTTGGATTCATCCAGTGACTGGTGCCACTTAGTGGAGAGGTTTAACAACAGATCAGCAGCAGAGTAACCATTCCTGAAGCCATATTGACGATCACAAAGTAGTGAGTGGTAGTCAAAAAACTCTGTCATTTGAATTGAGATTATTGTCTCAAGGATCTTACCAGTGATTGACAGGAGTGACACTGGTCTGTAGTTGCTGATTTCTGCTCTGCTCTTCTTTTTGTGAACAGGGACTACATTTGCCTCTTTCCATAGAGAGGGCCATTTACACTATACTAGGCAGTGCTGAAAGATGCGAGTTAGAGGTGCTGCTAGCTGGTCTGCACATCTCAGCAATCTTGGGTTCAACTTGTCTGGGCCCACAGCCTTTTCTTGTTCAAGCGATTTAAGAAGGAAATGCACCTCCTCCTGCCTTATTGTCACCACTGACAGTTTTGACACAGTTCTTGCAGCTAGCCAAGGAGGGTTCCTTGCTGGATCAGGAACTTGCATTTTGGTAGCAAAGTGTTCAGCAAAGAGGTCCGCCTTCTCTTGACTACTAGTAGAGGTGGTCCCATCCTGTCGATTTAGAGGTGAAATGAGTTCATCAGGCAGATAACCTTGTCTGTCCTTGACCAGGGACCACCAGGTTTTGGAGCCTACCCTACCTGATGCTAGCTTTCTTTTAGTGCCCACCTCCCATTTAGCAATGGCCCACTTTTGAACGTCACCCATATGCCTACAGGCTTGCATGTGCAAGTTCCTGTTATAGGTGGTAGGATGTCTCTTATACCTTCGCCATGCTTTGTACTTAGCAGTAGCAGCCTCTCTACAACGAAAGCCAAACCAAGGCTGATCTGTAGGCTTCGTCACATATTGCCGGTGAGGAATGTGTTCTTGTTGTAGATTAAGGATGTGTCCAGTGAAGGCTTTCACTTGGTTGTCAACATCCCCTTGGAGAAGAGCATTCCAATCGGTGGTGGCGAGCTCAGAGCAAAGGGCTAGCCAATTACCTCTTTCCCATAGCCAGGTTGTGCGTGTGGACTCCTCACCTCGTTCTGTTGGGATCTTAAGTGTCGTAAAAACAGCCTTGTGGTCAGACGATCGAACATAGCCGAGGGGTTGACAAGTGACTATGCCTTCTGCCAGATCACTTACTACTGGGTCAAGGGAGGAGCCAGAGATGTGAGTAGGGAAATCAACAAAGTTTCTCATGTCAAACACTGCAAGAAGGTCATCAAAGTCCCTCTGTATAAGGTGCTGGTTGAGGTCACCAACAATTATGACATGTTGACAGTTGTGTTGTAGCAGAAGGGAGTCAATATTTTCCATTAGGAAGTTGATGGGGTCTGCATGTTGCCACTGAGGTCTGTACATTGCACATGCTAGTACAGAGGTACTAGTGTTTATACAGAGCTTGAAGAACATCATTTCGAGATGTGTAGGGGTGGCAACATCAATGTGCTGGGCATGAACACTTTTAGAGAAGCACACAGCAACACCTCCTCCTTGCCCTTGCCTGTCTCTTCTCATCCATGAGGTGTAGCCAGCAATTCTTGCAAAATTTTCTGGAGTCCTGTCATCCAAAAATGTTTCAACAACAGCTATCATGTCGGGACGTCGAGTGTTCACAAATGTGTGAGCTCTCCAACATTAGTAATGAAACCTCTAATGTTGGCCGACAGGATGCTGATAGACTGGCTCCTCATGATGATGTGGTCAGCTTGAGGTGGTGGGTGTGTAGGGCATGCAAAGTGCCTGCCCTTGAGAGAGGTAGGGTACTGAGGCAGCTGCAGGGATGTAGGTCTGTGGTCTTGTATAAGGCACAATCCCACCTGCTGGGCTGGGATAGGAGTAGCTGAGTTGGTGACGTGTGAGTGTGTTCACCAATTCAGAGATCCTGCTGGTATGTTCTGAGAACAGATCTCTAAACAGGTGGTCCTGTCTGTCAAGTTCCTTTTTCTTCCGACACTGGTCCTCCTGATGTCCTTTCTTGTAGCAGTAATTGCACCTGGTATCTCGCAGGCAGTTGTTGGCAGTGTGCCCCTTCCGGTGACAGCGAGAGCACAGCCTAGGTGCCTGGGAGGGTGGACAATGATTTGTTACACCTCCTGTGTTTTGCAGATTTGTCCTCAGGTTCTGCCGCTGGAACTGTGTTAGTGGAGGGTGAGACGGCTGTAGATGTCTTCCTCTGCCACGTCCTCTGCCACGTCCTCTGCCACGTCCTCTGCCACGTCCTCTGCCACGTCCTCTGCCCCGTCCTCTACCAGTTCTGACAGATGTATCCCTGCTTGTTAATACGGAGAGAAAATAAAGTTGGGATGAATCTTAATTAAAGAACGAAAAGAGGCACAATATCATGACTGGAACAATACACAAATAACTCACAAATAGGAGAAACTGATGACAACGTTTCGGTCCGAGTTGAACCATTAACTAGCAGCTACTTAATGGTGCAAGTGGGACCGAAATGTTCATATTTATCACCATCACTGGAAAATGCACATTTCTATCTTCCTTTTTTATATACTTCAAGTACTGTATCTATACATTTACTTAGGTCAGCGAGTCACCTACTTACTAGAGGAAGTTTCTCTCGCCCCCCTACACAGGTAACTTCACGGCAGAACATGAAGTCACTGAGAACCTGTACCTGCAGTACTCTGATGACATCATGAGAGAGGCAAAGAAGGCGATAACTGATCAGTCACGGGAATACTGGAGGTGTGACCCTCGTCAGCACTCCGAGGGAGACACTTACATCCAACTTACTGAACTTCTCCAGGTATACTCTAGTGTGAACTCCAGGTATACTCTAGTGTAAACTCCAGGTATACTCTAGTGTAAACTCCTGCCTATAATGATAATAACAATGATAATAATAATAATAATAATAATAATAATAATAATAATAATAATTTACGATGTTTTCCTTTCCACTGCTCGCATGTTTCGACCCTCCCAGGGCACTTCCTCAGATCGTAGTCAGTGTCTCGTCCTGGAAAAGTGTCAGGGGCCCAAGACTGTTCAACTGCCTCCCGGCATACATAAGGGGGATTACCAATAGACCCCTGGCTGTCTTCAAGAAGGTGCTGGATGGACAGGCACCTAAATTCAGTACCTGACCAGCCGGGCTGTGGTTCGTACGTAGGTTTGCGTGCGGCAAACAGTAACAGCCTGGTTGATTAGGCCCTGATCCACCATGAGGCCTAGTCACAGACCGGGCCACGGGGGCGTTGACCCCCGAAACCCTCTCCAGGTATACTCCAAGTATACTCTCCAGGTATACTCTCCAGGTATACTCCAGGTATACTCTCCAGGTATACTCTCCAGGTATACTCCAGGTATACTCCAGGTATACTCCACGTACACTCCAGGTATACTCTCCAGGTATACTCCAGGTATACTCCAGGTATACACCAGGTATACTCCAGGTACACTCCAGGTATACTCTCCAGGTATACTCCAGGTATACACCAGGTATACTCCAGGTACACTCCAGGTACACTCCAGGTATACTCCAGGTATACTCCAGGTATACTCCAGGTATACTCCAGGTATACTCCAGGTATACTCTAGGTATACTCCAAGAATATCTCTAATTTTCCATAATTTTTTTTACTTTTATCGTTAATATTTCCCTGTGTGGTTTACAATGTTCATTAATACCGCAACTCTTCCTTGCTTTACTGTTCTCTTTCCCATTCGAAAAAAAAGTTGACACAATCACATTAAGTGAATATTGAGAACGTTCCTGGGTTCTCGGGTTTTAATGAGATCATTAAGTGAATATTTGTATATAAATTTCCTGTATGGTATAAACCTAAGTAACAGATACCGATAATTGGTTTAGAGACACAGGTGGACAAACACTAGGACATTTAACAGAAAACGTTTCGATCCTGGGACGTTGTTTACTTCTAACATCCTGAGGTACGGATAGGTTGGCCAGGACGGGTCCTGGCCAACCTGTTCCGCAGCCCCGTCCTGACTGGGGGTTATGGAATACGGAAATACCTTTATAGGTTCGCACAGCGACCGAAATGCATTCCTTTGTAACTGTCTTAGCTTAATATGTTTATAATATACCCCATACCCATCCTGTGGGTGGTGGTCACCCATACCCATCCTGTGAGTGGTGGTCACCCCATACCCATCCTGTGGCTGTTGTCACCCCATACCTATCCTGTGGGTGGTGGTCACCCCATACCCATCCTGTGGGTGGTAGTCATCCTATACTTATCCTGTGGGTGGTGGTCACCCCATACCCATCCTGTGGATGGTGGTCACCCCATACCCATCCTGTGGGTGGTGGTCAAAGGATTACAGAGGCACACAGTGGGTCCAGGGACTGGATAGCTGAAACACTACTGGAAAGTCTTCTAATAACCTCTCTCAGCTGACAGTGGTGTGCAGTTTGTGTCTGTACTTTTGTGTGATAGTTTAGTTTTGTGGTGTAATATATTTAACGTAATTTAATGCGTTATTGCTTACTGAATTACTTTTTTTCAGGGTTACATTGAGAATGAAGTGGACATGAACTCCGTGGGTTCCTGCTCGCAGACTTGCGGATATTATCAACATGCTCATAGTGAAGGTTGTTACATGTCAGAAACACAGTACTGTGGCAAGCACCGTCGCTGTCAGGGCACCTTGCACGACTGCCAGTATAATTATGCAGACTCCTTGGTATGCCTCTCCAGAAAGCCTTACAGACGATATGACTCCATCGTGTATAATAATGGTCTAAGACTAGGGTCTTCTGAATCTTGTGGCGGGTCTCTCATGAGGGTAGACTCATGGTGGAGGTTCCTCTACCACTGCTCTTACTGCTACTGTCTGTGTGATGATGGTAACTCTCCCACCAGTAATCGATACATCAGTCTTGTTGCTGCTCTCAGTGACACACGCAGCAATATGGTAAGTAAGTACATTTGAAGAGTGATATATTCAGTCTTTCTTTCTGTCAATTTTTTGTATAAAAAGTATTCGTTCTTTATATCTTATTTCTACTATATATTTTAGTATCTATTCTGCATCTCTTCATTTATATGTTGTAATTGCTTCATTGATTTTTTCTCTAAGTGAATATTTATCAATATATAACTTTAAATATACAGTTCCGAGTGCCTGCAAGCCTCTGGTAAGATAACTATTGATAGAAGATTGCTCACATGCTTATTGGAGTCAGTGGAGACGAGTGGCTTTTGGGACTTGGCGAGCTGTTGGAGTGTGAGCATTGTAATATTTTGTGAAGAAATTCAGGGGAACCGGTTAGCTGGACTTGAGTACAATGCCTGAGGGGCTTAGGAAATTTGCTGTTTGGAGTGACATCTGAACTGTCATATCTAAGTGCCTCTGCAAAGACAGTAATAGTGTGAATGATGGTGAAAGTGTTTCTTTTTTGGGAGTTCACCCTTCCTCGGTGGGAGATTGTCAGTGTGTTAAATATCAACCAGATAACTGCTGCGGCACATGGGCGCCTGGCAAACCTAAGAATAGCATTCCGATACCTCAGTAAGGAATCGTTCAAGACAATGTACATTGTGTACGTCAGACCCTTATTGGAGTATGCAGCACCAGTTTGGAACCCACACGTAATCAAGCACGTCAAGAAATTAGAGAAAGTGCAAAGGTTTGCAACAAGAGTAGTCCCGGAGCTAAGGGGTATGTCCTGCGAGGAGAGGTTAAGGGAAATCAACCTGACGACACTGGAGGACAGGAGGGATAAGAAGGACATGATAATAACATAAAATACTGAGAGGAATTGATAAGGACAAGATGTTCCAGAGATGGGACACAACAACTAGAGGTCACAGTTGGAAGCTGAAGACTCGGATAAGTTACAGGGATGTTAGGAAGTATTTCTTTAGTTTTAGAGTTATTAGGAAGTGGAATAGTCTGGAGAGTGATGTAGTGGAGGCAGGATCCATACATAGCTTCAAGAAGAGGTATGATAAAGCTCATGGAGCAGTCAGAGAGTGGACCTAATAACGACCAGCGAAGATGCGGGACCAGGAGCTATGACTCGACCCCCGCAACTACAATTACGTAAGTACACACACACATGCATGTTGCTTCACAATATTTAAAATCGTTTGCCTCAAATACTTGTGCTGGGTAGAGAATAAATTTAGGGGTTCGACGACTCACAGTGTAAGTCAGGCTCTCACAGCAGTGCTGGTCATTGAGTAGATAGATAATGTGTGGCGAGGTGGCAGATGTACTGCATAGACAAGGAATGGCAGTATCTCAGGTAACAGTTGGGTGGTGGAGAACAGTCATTGGGAAATTTTCAGTTTTCCTTACATGAGGAGTTGTTGGGCGTCTTGTTCATCAAGGTTATTCATGCCTGACCTTTGACGGTATATAAGTCTCCTTACTGTTGCTTCACCTTCACATTGTTCTTGACTCTTCAAGCTGAAGGACCGACCACATCAAAGCTGCGTCTTGAACGGTGACGGACTGACTATATCGTCTTTACATCTCTACTGCTTCTGCTACCTGCTCTGTATTCGACTGAAGAATCCTACTGTTTCGGAATACAGTTACCAAGCTATTGTATATTTGTCTTACTTAGCAAGAGGAGGAGGAAGAGGAGGAAGAGGAGGAGGAGAAGGAGGAGGAGGAGGAGGAGAAGAAGGAGGAGGAGGAGGAGGAGGAGGAGGAGGAGGAGGAGGAGGAGGAAGAAGAAGAAGAAGAAGAAGAAGAAGAGGAGGAGGCAGCCCTCTATTAAGTACAGTACCCATAGCCTTTCAGAAAGGGGAAGCCCCAGAGACGGCGTCCCTTTCCGTTTACGAAATTGACCTTTCCTACACTATGAAAGTCGACTGTCCAGTCATGGAGGTAGTATTATGTACTTCATAATTATCTAGTAAACAGAATCGTGATGGTGCAATTCACAATGTAATAATGATCTTCAGTCTACAGTGTTTCCGTGTAATGTTTGAATCATTTTGTTCACCTCAGGTGGTGACAGGTCTGCAGTTCACCAAGCAAAGGAAAGTTATACACCTACAAGTACAACAAGGCGAAGCATTGCCACAAGGACACGTCAACATGTCAACTATACACTGGGTTGATGTGGAGCCCATCAACATTTTAAGGTAATGTATTTGCTCATTGGTGTCAGCTATGGTCTGTTGAAGTTGTCATATACTTGTACAAATGAAGTTTATTATTATTATTATTATTATTATTATTATTATTATTATTATTGGCATAAGCAATGCAAAGATTGATAGCTCCTTGTTAATTATTTGTTTTAAACATTCTGGGGTTGATTTGGAAGGTCTACATATGTCGTTGGGCCTCCCTTCTTATCCGTGCATATTCATTTCTGGCTCTAGGACTGCTCTCCTTATTCTCCTGGGTCCTTTGCCTTCTATATTTCTTCCATTCCCTATTCATAAGCCTACCTGACTTTCCATACAGTACTCTCGTATAATGTTGGCGTTCATGCTATTTAGTTCACTGCTCACACGCACACGCTGCTACTACTACTACACACACACACACACACACACACACACACACACAGGGCCAGGAGCTAGGACTCGACCCCTGCAACCACAAATAGGTGAGTACACACACACACACAGTACTACTACTACTAGTGTGTGCACCATATGCGTCAGGCCCATACTGGAGTATGCAGCACCAGTTTGGAACCCACACCTGATCAAGCACGTCAAGAAATTAGAGAAAGTGCAAAGGTTTGCAACAAGACTAGTTCCTGACCTAAGGGGAGTGTCCTACGAAGAAAGGTTAAGGGAAATTGGCCTGACGACACTGGAGGACAGGAGACTCAGGGAAGACATGATAATGACATAAAATAGTGCGCAGAATAGACAAGGTGGACAGAGACAGGATGTTCCAGAGATGGGACACAGAAACAAGAGGTCACAGTTGGAAGTTGAAGACCCAGATGAGTCAAAGGGATGTTAGGAAGTATTTCCTCAGTCATAGAGTTGTCAGGAAGTGGAATAGCCTAGAAATGACGTAGTGGAGGCAGGAGCCATACATATCTTTAAGACGAGGATTGATAAAACTCGTGGAGCATGGAGAGAGAGGACCCACAAGCAACCAGTGAAGAGGCAGGGCCAGGAGCTTTGGCTCGGCCTCTGAAACCACAAATAGGTGAGTACACACATACTACTACTACAATTACTACTACTACTACTACTACTACTACTACTACTACTACTACTACTACTACTACTACTACTACTACTACACACACACAAAGGTGTAGAGAGGTAAAAACTGAGCTAGAGAATGGAAAAAGTACAGAAGACGAAGGACTCGGGAAAATAAAAAGATTTGTTAAAGATCCAGTAATGAGCATGCACAGATAAGAAGGGAGGCTCAGCGATAATACAAAAACGACATAGCATCAAAAGTCAAGTCTGACCCGAAGCTGTTGTACAGCCACATCAGGAGGAAAACAACAGTCAGGGACCAGGTAATCAGGTTGAGGAAGGAAGGTGAGGAGCTCACAAAAAACGACCAAGAAATATGTGAGGAGCTCAACATGAGATTTAAAGAAGTATTTACTGTGGAGACAGAAAGGACTCTGGGAAGTCAGAATAGAGAGGTACACCAACAAGGGATATACCAAGGATATACCAACCGCGGAGAATGTGAAGAATCTGCTAAGTGGACCTGATACCTCAAAGGTGCTGGGACCGGACAACATATCTCCATGGGCCCTTAGAGAGGGAGCAGGTGCTGTATGTGCCACTAACAACAATCTTCAACACATCCACTGAGACTGAGCAACGACCTGAGGTGTGGAAGATGGCAAATGTAGTCCCAGTTTTTAAGGAAGGAGGCAGACTTGAGGCATTAAACTACAGTCCAGTGTCACTGACATGTATTGTATGCAAAGTCATGGAGAAGATTATCAGGAGGAGAGTGGTGGAGCACCTAGAAAGGAACAAGTTTATAAACGACAACCAGCATGGTTTCAGGGAAGGGAAATACTGTGTCACAAACCTACTGGAGTTTTACGACAAGGTAACGAAAGTAAGACACGAGAGAGAGAGGGGTGGGTAGATCGCATTTTTTTTGACTTCAAGAAGGCCTTCGACACAGTTCCTCACAAGAGATTGGTGCAAAATCTAGAGGATCATGCGCGCATAATAGGAAAGGCCCTGCAATGGATCAGAGAATACCTGAAAGGGAGGCAACAACGGGTCATGGTACGTGACGAGGTGTCAGAGTGGGCGCCTGTGACGAGCGGGGTTCCACAGGGGTCAACCCTAGGACTAGTGCTGTTTTTGGTATATGTGAATGACATGACGGAAGGGTTAGAATCAGAAGTGTCCCTGTTTGCAAATGATGTGAAGTTAATGAGGAGAATTAAATCGGATGAGGATCAATCAGGACTCCGAAGAGATCTGGACAAGCTGGACAACTGGTCCAGCAACTGGCTTCTTGAATTTAACCCTGCCAAATGCAAAGTCATGAAGATCGAGGAAGGGCAAAGACCGCGGACAGAGTATAGGCTAGGTGGCCAAGAACTGCAAACCTCACTCAAGGAAAAGGATCTTGGGGTGAGTATAATACCGAGCACATCTCCTGAGGCGCACGTCAACCAGATAATTACTCCAACATATGATCGCCTGGCAAACCTTAGAATAGCGTGTTGATATCTCAGCAAGGAATCGTTCAAGACTCTACACCGTGTATGTCAGGCCCATATTGGAGTATCCAGCACCAGTTTGGAACCCACATCTGGTCCAATACGTCAAGAAATTAGAGAAAGTTCTAAGGTTTGCAACAAGACAAGTCCTAGAGCTACGGGGAATGTCCTACGAAGAAAGGTTAAGGAAAATCGGCCTGACGACACTGGAGGACGGGAGGATCAGGGGAGATATAATAACGACGTATAAAATATTGTGAGTAATAGACAAGGTGGACAGAGAGAGGATGTTCCAGAGATGGGACACAGAAACAAAGGGTCGCAGTTGGAAGTTGAAGACTCAGATGAGTCAGAGGGATGTTAGGAAGTATTTATTCAGTTACAGAGTTGTTAGGAAGTGGAATAGTCTGGCAAATGATGTAGTGGAGGCAGGAACCATACATAGTTTTAAGACGAGGTATGATAAAGCTCATGGAGCAGGGAGAGAGAGAGAGAGGACCTAGTAGCGGTCAGTGAAGAGGCGGGGCCAGGAGCTCTGAATCGACCCCTGCAACCACAAATAGGTGAGTACACACACACACACACACACACACACAAACATACACACTCACACAAACATACACACACACAAACACACACACACACACACACACACCTGTATGTTCTTAATTACCACACATGTGCCTACATTATATTCCTTCAAGGTTAGATATATGCCTGTAACGGCTAATCATAATTATATCTGCAACTAAAGAAAGGCTATAATCTCTATGTATCATTCATAGAAATATATTTACTAATAGACCTGTGTAAGCTTTTTCTGGTCATTTTGAAAGGTGTGGAAATTTACGTATTCCGGAATATATTTTTTTTTTGGCATACATTTTACTCTATTGGAAACCACACTTAAATGATTTGTGGCGCTGGTAGTTTTGTACGGAATTTTGGCCACTATATTTTTTTTTTTTTGCATATTACAGCATGTCTTACGACGAAGGCAGACACTACAAGAAGTTATCGTTCGAGGAACGGAGCATAGACCTGGACCGCCTGGTGGCTCCGGAGAACCATGTTGTGACTGGTGTTCGCTTCAGGATGCTGGGTTCCCATGTCAACCTGGAGGTAACTACCCACACAGATTATTTTGATTTTGAGAGTATGGCGAAGTGGAAGCCAGGACTGCAGAGTCTCTTACCCTGACAGCAAAAAGAAATAATGGTAATGTTCCCTAACTTGCCCTGGTCAGTATCGTCTTTGTTAGGGACGTGAAGTATGCACCCTAACTTACACTGGTCAGTATCATGCCTAGTGGCCTTGTTAGGGGACGTGAATCATGCACCCTAACTTACCCTAGTCAGTATCATACCTAGTGGCTCTGGTAGAGACATGAATCATACACCCTAACTTACCCTGGTCAGAATAATCTCCGTTAGGGTCATGAAGCATGCATTCTAACTTACCCTGATCAGTATAGCCTCTAGTGGCCCTGTTAGGGGACATAAATCACGTAGTTAATAAACAGTGTCGTTATTTTGATTTAGATTTTTTTTAGATTTTTTCTAAAGTTAACCACTGTCCTTTTTTTGATGGTAAATATTCTCTTAAGACAGTACAAGTAACCCGAAGGACATTAACAATCTTGCTCCTCCATTAACCCAGAACCAAGATAAAAGGGAGAGTAGATGTCAGGCAAAAATAGCTGTTCCAGAATAGGCTGTAAGGTTCAATTTGGGATGTTGTTGATGTCTCCTGTTTCTATTAAATGATATATATCTACACTAAATTTCACCATTCAGTTAGTAATCCATTTTCCGAAGGAAGGTAGAGTGAGGCTGTGAGACGAGGGGGAGGTAGAGTGAGGGAGGCTGTGAGACGAGGGGGAGGTAGAGTGAGAGAGCTGTGAGACGAGGGGAGGTAGAGTGAGGCTGTGAGACGAGGGGGAGGTAGAGTGAGGCTGTGAGACGAGGGGGAGGTAGAGTGAGGGAGGCTGTGAGACGAGGGGAGGTAGAGTGAGGGAGGCTGTGAGACGAGGGGGAGGTAGAGTGAGGGAGGCTGTGAGACGAGGGGAGGTAGAGTGTAAGGGAGGCTGTGAGACGAGGGGGAGGTAGAGTGAGGGAGGCTGTGAGACGAGGGGGAGGTAGAGTGAGGGAGGTTGTGAGACGAGGGGAGGTAGAGTGAGGGAGGTTGTGAGACGAGGGGAGGTAGAGTGGGTGAGGCTGTGAGACGAGGGGGAGGTAGAGTGAGGGAGGTTGTGAGACGAGGGGAGGTAGAGTGAGGTTGTGAGACGAGGGGGAGGTAGAGTGAGTGAGCTTGTGAGACGAGGGGGGTAGAGTGAGGGAGGTTGTGAGACGAGGGGGAGGTAGAGTGAGTGAGCTTGTGAGACGAGGGGGAGGTAGAGTGAGGTTGTGAGACGAGGGGGAGGTAGAGTGAGTGAGGTTGTGAGACGAGGGGGAGGTAGAGTGAGTGAGGTTGTGAGACGAGGGGGAGGTAGAGTGAGTGAGGTTGTGAGACGAGGGGGAGGTAGAGTGAGGGAGGTTGTGAGACGATGGGGAGGTAGAGTGAGTGAGGTTGTGAGACGAGGGGAGGTAGAGTGAGTGAGGTTGTGAGACGAGGGGAGGTAGAGTGAGTGAGGTTGTGAGACGAGGGGGAGGTAGAGTGAGGGAGGTTGTGAGACGAGGGGGAGGTAGAGTGAGTGAGGTTGTGAGACGAGGGGGAGGTAGAGTGAGGGAGTTTGTGAGACGAGGGGAGGTAGAGTGAGTGAGGTTGTGAGACAAGGGGAGGTAGAGTGAGTGAGGTTGTGAGACGAGGGGAGGTAGAGTGAGGGAGGTTGTGAAACGGGGGAGGTAGAGATGGGTGAGGCTGTGAGACGAGGGGAGGTAGAGTGAGGGAGGTTGTGAGACGAGGGGAGGTAGAGTGAGGTTGTGAGACGAGGGGGAGGTAGAGTGAGTGAGCTTGTGAGACGAGGGGGGGTAGAGTGAGGGAGGTTGTGAGACGAGGGGGAGGTAGAGTGAGCGAGCTTTGTGAGACGAGGGGGAGGTAGAGTGAGGTTGTGAGACGAGGGGGAGGTAGAGTGAGTGAGGTTGTGAGACGAGGGGGGAGGTAGAGTGAGTGAGGTTGTGAGACGAGGGGGAGGTAGAGTGAGTGAGGTTGTGAGACGAGGGGGAGGTAGAGTGAGGGAGGTTGTGAGACGAGGGGGAGGTAGAGTGAGTGAGGTTGTGAGACGAGGGGGAGGTAGAGTGAGTGAGGTTGTGAGACGAGGGGAGGTAGAGTGAGTGAGGTTGTGAGACGAGGGGGAGGTAGAGTGAGGGAGGTTGTGAGACGAGGGGGAGGTAGAGTGAGTGAGGTTGTGAGACGAGGGGGAGGTAGAGTGAGGGAGTTTGTGAGACGAGGGGAGGTAGAGTGAGTGAGGTTGTGAGACAAGGGGGATGTAGAGTGAGTGAGGTTGTGAGACGAGGGGGAGGTTAGAGTGAGGGAGTTTGTGAGACGAGGGAAGTTAGAGTGAGTGAGGTTGTGAGACAAGGGGGAGGTAGAGTGAGTGAGGTTGTGAGACGAGGGGAGGTAGAGTGAGTTGAGGTTGTGAGGCAAGGGGGAGGTAGAGTGAGTGAGGTTGTGAGACGAGGGGGAGGTAGAGTGAGGGAGGTTGTGAGACGAGGGGGAGGTAGAGTGAGTGAGGTTGTGAGACGAGGGGGAGGTAGAGTGAGTGAGGTTGTGAGACGAGAGGGGAGGTAGAGTGAGTGAGGTTGTGAGACGAGGGGGAGGTAGAGTGGGGAGGTTGTGAGACGAGGGGGAGGTAGAGTGAGTGAGGTTGTGAGACGAGGGGGAGGTAGAGTGAGTGAGGTTGTGAGACGAGGGGGAGGTAGAGTGAGTGAGGTTGTGAGACGAGGGGGAGGTAGAGTGGGGAGGTTGTGAGACGAGGGGGAGGTAGAGTGAGTGATGTGAGACGAGGCGGAGGTAGAGTGAGTGATGTGAGACGAGGGGGAGGTAGAGTGAGTGATGTGAGACTAGGGGGAGGTAGAGTGAGTGATGTGAGACGAGGGGGAGGTAGAGTGAGTGATGTGAGACGAGGGGGAGGTAGAGTGAGTGATGTGAGACGAGGGGGAGGTAGAGTGAGTGATGTGAGACGAGGGGGAGGTAGAGTGAGTGATGTGAGACGAGGGGGAGGTAGAGTGAGTAAGGTTGTGAGACGAGGGGGAGGTAGAGTGAGTGAGGTTGTGAGACGAGGGGGAGGTAGAGTGAGTAAGGTTGTGAGACCAGGTGCTGGAGGGTGGTGGGTCCCTCTGTGTTACCTTGCTGAATTACACACACTATATTATTACCTCTATGTAGCTACAGAAACAGCTCAAGTTTCATTTAGTCTATCATAAATACTGAATTTTTCATTATTATTAACACTTTCTGCCTCAGTTTCTAAACCATTCTGTTGTGATACTGTTATCTTTATGAAGTAAGCTTATTATGAGCTTTTGTTTCTAAGTTTTCAAATTATTTATTTATTTATTTTATGTCTTTGCAAACAGTACATTGAGATTTTGTATTTACAATAGTGGGTTGCAATGCAGAGACAGCCTCTATTATGCCTGTTCTGCCAGCTGATCGCATAATATTGTCTGAATTGATCACGTTAGCTATATCTACCATACACAATATATATATTATATAATATATATAATATATATATATATAATAATATTAATATATATATATATATTATATATATATATATATATATATATATATATATAATTAGTATGTAAACAGTACCTTATTACAAAATTTAATGTGTCCTAAATCTAAGAAATAATGCCATGGATATGTATGATCAATATCGTTTTTCAGGATTTCTTTTTTTCAATTTTATAGCCTTAGAGCATAATTTGTATTTGGCTGTGACAGGTACAAATCACCCCAGTAAACTACACGACAGGTAAACTACAGGCGTACAAGAGCTACTGGATCAGCAACGACAACACACCAGCTATGTCCAGGAACTCCAGGAAGGAGTTTGTGATTTATTCTCCCGATGACCCGGCTAGATTCATCACTCCCTCGCAAAATTACTCAAGACCTGACACATTCATACGTTTTGGTCCCACTGACAGGAGGAAGGACGCAGCCCAGCTCACTGTGCCATTCCTCGATGCACAGACTGTTGCTCCATTTCCTAGTACCTGGTTTTCCGGAGTTGAACTTTACCACAAAGGTCAGCCTGGCTCTGGAGGCTTCCTAGGCCTGAAAGTCATCACCTACGACGCATCTCTTCACATGGAATTCATAGACTACGATACAATGGCTGTAAATTTACACAATTTACCCAACCACTAGAGAACAGCTTTATTTTTTACAACCTCATAAAGTATTATGTATAGTAAAACACTACAGTTAAAACTAATTAATTGCTAATACATGCTTCAGTATTTTTTGCGCTTGATAACTGGTGGCTAAAGCTCCCGCTTCACACACGGAGGGCCCGGGTTCGATTCCCGGCGGGTGGAAACATTTCGACACGTTTCGTAACACCTATTGTCCTGTTCACCTAGCAGCAAATAGGTACCTGGGTGTTAGTCGACTGGTGTGGGTCGCATCCTGGGGGACAAGATTGAGGACCTCAATGGAAATAAGTTAGACAGTCCTCGATGACGCACTGACTTTCTTTGGTTATCCTGGGTGGCTAACCCTCCGGGGTTAAAAAATCCGAACGAAATCTTATCTTATATTATCTTATCTTACTGTATTGCGTTACATAATACGTAAGTGATGCTACAGTCTCTGTAGCATAGCTGGAAATTACAGTAACGTGTAGAAATTGTCATGTGACTCCTGTACTGTTGTTACACATGTAGGGCCAGGAGCTGAGTCTCGACCCCTGCAACCACAATTAGGTGAGTACACCTTGCCAGAATGTCATAGACATTCATAATTACATTGTAATAACGTTGATACAATTACCAACAATATGTTGGTAAAAACGACACAAGTACAACTAATGTGAGCGAAACGTTGCCACAGTGACATGTCACATTAGTTGCACTTATGTCCTTTTTACCTAACATATTTACATTGTTGAGATTATATAACAGCTTAAGAAAAATTATATAACTGGCAAGAGTCCCACTCAACTAGCCTAGCTATTTATGTACATAATTTACAACGTAGTGTATTTACAACAAAAGTACAGATCTGTGTTTCACTTTTGTCCACTTATTAATACATATATCATAATAAAGTACCTATTGTCCAACTGGTATTATTATTATTATTATTATTATTATTATTATTATTATTATTATTATTATTATTATTATAGGGAAGCGGTATACCCGTAGGGGTCATACAGCACCTGGGAAATGGTAGTTCCTATTACAATCATTGGAAGTTGTTTATTACTGTCTATTTATCGGGTTAGGTTAGGTTTAAAACCTATCGACTACACGAGGCTCATTAGGATTACATTTCACCTGTGCACTACCTGCTGAGAATATTTGAATCCATCAAAAATCGCATTAAAATAAACTGTTAGCTTTATATTCATTGAAATATGCACGTCCCTAGGTATATCCTCGTCAGAGGTATGAAGTTTAAGTGGTGATGTGACATGCTAGGTGATAGAAATTAGAAATTTCTATGTGTTGCTGTTTTTTTCGTGTTTTTTCGTGTCTTCCTTTGCAGATGACACCCGAATCTGCATGACAGTGTCTTCCATTGCAGACACTGCAAGGCTCCAGGCGGACATCAACCAAATCTTTCAGTGGGCTGCAGAAAACAATATGAAGTTCAACGATGAGATGGCCAGGTAGACAACACACTCGCTTCACACACACTGTCCGTGGTTCAGTTCCCGGCCTGCTGGAAACATCGGGCGTGTTTCCTTACACCTGTCCCTGTTCACCTGGCAGTAAATAGGTACCTGGGTGTTAGTTGACTGGTGTGGGTCGCATCCTGGGGGACAAGATTGAAGAACCACAATGGAAATAAGACAATCTCTCGATGATGCACTGACTTTCTTGAGTTATCCTGGGTGGCTGATCCTCCTGGCTTAAAAATCCGAACAAAATCATATCTGGCCTGATCGCTGAAGCTCTCGCTTCAAACGGCGAGGGTCTGCGTTTGACTCCCAGCACGGGTAGAAACATTGGGAGTATTTATTTACACCAGTTGTCTACGTTCACCCATCAGTAAAATGGGTACCTGTGTGTTAGTCTACTGGTGTGGGTTGCATCCTGGTTCGAGGATCTGATTTGCTCGAAATGCTCTGCATAACAAAGGGGCTTTCTATATAGTAGTATGTGTTACAAAAAACGCGATTCTAAAAGCTTAGAGATCTCCAGTGAATACTAGAAAGGACTGCCCTTCTAGCATCCAGCCTGTTACTGGGTTTTCGTAACAAGTAGTCAGTATCCTTGTCCAATTATCCATTAAAATTCAGTATGGTTCAATAGTGCTTTAGGATTACAACTGGTAGGCTACTAACTAGAGAAATTAAAATTTAATAAATTTATTAAGTCTAGAGGTATATTATCAAAGTAAATTAAATCACAGCTATCAAAATAAAATCAATCTCTCGAGTTCAATATTATTGTGCTGAAAGCACATCTCTCATTTATAATTCTTAAGTACCGTCAGGTACATTAACATTTAATAAGATTTTACAAATATGTACAAGTGTGTGTATGCGTGTAAGTGCTCTTAAGTAGTTAGCTATGTCTCAAGACTCGAATAAGACTTAAACAAGTGACTGACAAAGTCCTCAAATAAACTAACTTCTTGACCGACTGGCAATCCGAACAGTCTGCTTGAACAACAAAGAATGCTAAGCCCAATAGCAATGCAATATCAAGCGACTGCGACACAGAATCAGGAACTGGGAAATAATATAACGACACTAAGTAGGGACCATCAGCAGATCCTCCACAAAAGTTACAAAACTCCCATAATACTGAATCTATGTTCAGCATAGGAAAAACTGTGACTGTGACAATACACAGGAACCAGTACAAAATTAGGTCAGAAGCTATAGCTAAGGACCTGAGATGTTCAGAGTGTCAATGTGACACACAACCTCAGGACAACGTCGAAAATCACAAAGTCTTTACAATGTTCTGTGAACAAAGTTCTACAGAACTAACAAGAATAATGAGACAATCTGTCCAACCACCAAGAGAGTCTAGAGCAGACTGAAAACTTCACGAGAGGTGAGGACACCTCCCCCCTCGATCACGTGATAGCTACGTGGACAACTGCAGCTCAGAAGCCGGCAGTATAACGAGCGACAAGCGATAATTACAGTAGTTTGACAATCAAGACTAACTGAGCACATATTATGTACATCCTAACAACATAAGCTAAATAACAATATAACAGTCAAATAATAATATAAAGTTATACATTTACGATTTAGCTATTATCGCAAATATAAGCAATATAAAATTAAATGAAAAGGTAATATACATTATATATACATAATAATCATTGTAACCCATTCAGGGGTTGCAACAGTATGTCATTGATGTCAGCTAGGCCAAAGGAAATAAATCTGTCTGACTTTTTTGGGTTATCCCAGGTTCTCTACACATATGCTGCTATGTATGATAATCTATGTAACTGTATTTGTGTATACCTGAATAAACTTACTTAGTCCTGTGTACCATGTACATGTACTTGTAGTAAATAAAGATATTATTGTTATTGTAGATGAATGGTTCAGAGAACCGACAAGTTGATAAATTAGACATATGTGCAACACTTGGGTATCTTTAATGAGGAAACGTTTCTCCACACAGTAGCTTCACACAGTGGCCTGTCCCAGTAGCTGGGACAGGCAGGAGCGACCTGCTCTGAACCGTGTTGCCCTGGGTTGTGTAATTGATGGGTATCTAGGTGGTTGGCGATCTTGCTTCTTAGAACCCTCTCAAAGATTTTATATAAGATATGGGATGTTAGTGCTATCGGTCTGTAGTTCTTTACAATTGCTTTACTGCCACCTTTGTGGAGTGGGGCTATGTCTGTTGTTTTTAGTGTGCGTGGGATGACCCCTGTGTCCATGCTCCCTCTTCATAAAATGCTGAAGGCACGTGATAGGGGCTTCTTGCAGTTCTTGATGAACACGGAGTTCCATGAGTCTGGGCCTGGGGCAGAGTGCATGGGCATGTCATTTATTGCCTCTTCAAAGTCTTGTGGAGTTAGGATAATATCCGAGATTTTTGGGATGTCCCAAAAACACCACCGCAAGTACGTATTGTCATCTACAATATCACTGAGTTCTTGAACCTCAAATACCAAAGGTCAGAACAGTTTGCTAAACTCCATCGACTCTTCAACAATCTGATATTTTCTCAGTGGACAGGCACAGTGCCTTTCCAACATTTGATACCAGGTACAAAACCGTCCTATACAGTGCCCTTCCTTCCACAGATGCTGTAAATGTTAGAGTAAGTTTATTCAGGTATACACAAATACAGTACGTACATAGCATCATATGTGTAGAGAACAGAGGATAACCCCAAAAAAGTCAGACAAAAATTACTTATTTCTATTGGGATAACACTACAAAGAAATACCCCGCCTTACCATGGTAGTGTTAAGTATGCTCTAAGGCCCCTCCATCTCAACAGCCTTATGAGGTACTCCAATACTGAAACTATATACTGTGCCAAAACAAAAGCATTCACATTGCTAAACTCATAAACTAGTATTTAGTCACTTAGCCATAAGACCAACTTACCTCATAATTTGTAATATTTTACAATTAAGAATAAAACTAAGTATGCCCGAAATGCCTAGCCATGCTAAGCGTTCTAGTGGTACACTCTGTAATCACAATTTTACTACATGTAAACCAAACAATAACCAAATTTCTGTAAACTCAGCATTGTAATCCTTATAGAGAATAAACTTTGAATTGAATTGAATTGAAAAAAAATAGTCTCCATGAAAAAACGCCAGCTGTAAGTGCGATGGAGTACATGAATGACATCTGGACTGCAGAGAACTACCCACACACCTCAGGACTAGCAACGAATCATGACAATAATGGCGGTTCCTACAAGGGTTGACCATTTGGGTGTCAGTCCATTGGTTGTTACTGGGAAGACCATGAACCTTACGAAGGTGCTTAACTAAAACTGGGATTCTACCTATATGTACAATCCTGTAACGATTATGTTGACAACATACATAAGGCGGATTACCAATAGACCCCTGACTGTCTTCACGAAGGCACTGGACAGACGCCTTAAATCAATACCTGACCAGCCGGGCTGTGGCTCGCACGTCGGCTTATGTGCGCCCAGCAGTAACAGCCTGGCTGATCAGGCCCTGATCCACCACGTGGCCTGGTCACGGACCGGGCAGCGGGGGCGTTGACCCCCGAAACCCTCTCCAAGTATACTCCAGGTATACCATCCAGCCAGCTGATTAAGGGCAGGTCGTGGTTCCTGTGGCAAGAGAACCTGGCATCAGTGGCATCTCTCCAACCTATGGACCTGGCCAGGTAGGTCGACTCCAGGTAATCCATCTGACTGTCGAGTACATCTAGCCTGAGTCAGGCTAGTAATGTTGAGTGATGATGATAATGAGTGCAGTGTATGTTGATGAGTGTATTGGTGTCAGTGATGAATACCTGCAGAGGGTTTCGGGGGTCAACACCCCCGCGGTCCGGTCTGTGACCAGGCCTCGTGGTAGATAAGGGCCTGAGCAACCAGGCTGTTACTGTTGGCCGCACGCAACCCGATGTACGAACCACAGCCCGGCTGATCAGGTATTGACTGAAGGTGCCTGCCCAGTGACTTCTTGAAGACAGTCAGGGGTCTATTATTAATCCCCCTGATGCATGCTGGGTGGCAGATGAACAGTCCTGGGCCCCTGACACTTATTGTGTTGTCTCTTATCGTGCTAGTGGCACCCCTGCTTTCCACTGGGAAAATGTTGCACTGTCTCCTGAGTCTTTTGTTAGTACAAGTAATGATTGTAGTGTAGGTGATTGGGAGAGTAATATCACTGGTGATATCACCGATCGTAAATTCACGCGGCTTCAAATAATTAAGAATAACTTTGCAATTACATTTAGCAGGAGTCATACAGACGAAATAATTATCATTTGTCTGCTAGCTGGTAAATTTCGTTCTTGTGCTGAAAAACTTAAGTGATATCCCCGGAGTTTGACAAAGCAACGTTACCACAATAAAATGTTACATTAGTTACACTTGTGTTCTTTTACCCAACATACCTGGAGTTTACCTGGAG